GCACAGCCCTCCACTGACCCCGTTGCCTAGCAGCCAACCCACCTCCGTCGTCTCCATCTCAGACTCCTCCCGGCGCGAGCTCGCGCTGGCCTCGGCCCTCCACTGTCGGCCGCTCCACTCCGCCGCTCTCTCGGCCCTCCTCTCTCGCCAGCGTGGCCGGCCGCCTCTCCCCTCGCCAGCTGCTCTGCCCACCGCCGCCCTCACAACTGAGGATGAACAACGTTGTGGCCGACCCAACGGTGGACGTTGGGCGGGGTGGCAGCGGGCGAGCGCGGCAGCGGGCGGCGATAGAGGGGGAGAGAGGCGGCCGCAGTGGCGTGTGTGCGTCGGTGTGGCAGTGACAGTGGAGCTCGGCTCGGCTCGCCAGCCGCCTCACTCCCGTCTGCCGCCGACAACCACCGTTGAAGAGAAGAGTAGAAAGAAAAGAGTAAGAAGAGATGTGGCCCCCACATTTTTCCTTCTCACTTAACTTACATGTGGGATCCACATATTATTTTTATTTTTTTTGGCTGACTAGGATGCCACGTCAGCGAAAGCACCCATATATACTGCCATAGGACCTTGACCTCGAGTGCACGGTTTATGTGAGTTTAGAGCTACACATTTCTAGTTTTGTGGTTAAGAGACTTCAAACAATCTCGCTGTTAAGTTGAGGGACCTCCGGCGAACTTATTCCAAACAGAAAACACGCATGGCCTGCTTGGCAAATGATAACGAACAAATGGCCCAGAAACTTTCACAGTTGCTTGGTTGCTGCTTCCGCTTGTAGCTTCCATCATATAGATAGTGAGATGTTATGATCTCAACTTAATGAAATGAATGGATTGGCCAATTATATTGTATTGTATACTGCATGGTTACCGTCACAAAAGATGCGTGATCCGCTGATCCGCATCATCCAGAGTTATATAATGGGAGACCAAATGGACCCTGAACAGGTAAAAGGAAGCATGTCGGGAGCTGCACAATATTTCTTCTCTTTCGTTCTCAAGCGCAATACACATCCGATTTGTGCTCTACCACTTACATCAATCATGCACACATTCATACGCGAAAAGGAAGGAATTGCTTCGACGAGCTTGAACATGCCTATATTATTCTCGTCACACAAACACAAAAGTCAATCATAGCGCCACCGGAACAACGAGGAGCCGGATAAGATGACTTCTTCATCATTTCATAATAGCAAACAGGACGCCAGCCAGGCAACGTCAAAGAAATAAAAAACAGGAGCAGACAATATCGTGCATGCATGTCACTTTCAGTTTTGGCAAGCAGGCAGGCAAGTATTCCAGCCTTCCTTATTTCTCTTCGACCACAAAAACAAGCTCAGGTAACCGAAGCTAGCAAGCAACAGACCCCTGATATTTCCTCCCTTTTATAAAAGCATTCGCACAATTATTCCTCGTTGCAGCCGGAGAAAAACGGGGCCAGAAAAATATCAGCCGCGCTACGGTACAAACCGGCCCAGGCCCGGCGGCCGCGAGAGAGGGTGACGGCCGCGTGACGCGCTCCCGCGTACGGAACGGAGCACGCGTGCGCGAAGTTTCCTCCTCATCTCATCCACCCCCTCTCGCAACTCTCGCAAGTTGCGTGCGGCGGCCTCGCGTCGTCTCGGTACCCATCTCTCGTCCGTCCTGGAACACAGCGCGGTGATGTGAAATCTGGGCCTTTTGTCTCCACCTGCAGCCGAAGCTTCGGTCGCTACACGGCTCACACGCGCACGCGCACGCGCTGCAAAGCTACCAGTTGGGGGGGCTCGCGCGGGCGCGGCGCCTGTCGCCTTTGCGGGCGGTGGAGTTTTTGTCATCAACTTGAGCGTCGTAGCAGCGACTTCTCGGCTTGGGATTCGGCGGGGACGGGAAATCATTGGAGTTCCCTGAATTTGTCCTGGCAATGGCAACGCGAGGGCGCTGACTACTACTACTACGAAGGGGATGAATCAAGGATCGCTCGCTCCGATAAGGAAAAAAAAACTTCCTGTTTGATCACTATCATGTCAACCTCTTTTTTCATGTACATGTGCGCCGTAGGCTGTAGCTTAAGATCTAAGTAGGCGCATCGTTTCAACGCCGCATGCCGTTTGTCAAAGCTGCGTAGTTCAGCAAGAGGAGAGATATTGTTTTCTTAGAGCAGGTTTAATAGATCCTAATCAGCCGGCGCTAGCACGCTTCGCGTCAGCCAAATCTGACGTGGAGGAGTGAGAAGAGAAGGAAAAGAATGGAGCGGGCGTTCCGTTTATCGTTCGGCTGAAGCGCAACACACGAGAAAAAACTGCTTTCTTCCAACCAAATGCGAGGAGATCAGGTGTACATGCGAATATTAAATATGTAAATCTTCAATAGAGGTAAATAAACAGCTAACCTAATAGCCAGCCTATTATATTAGTGATGGCTATAGGTGACATGGTACTAATACAGAACCGGCAGCTGGCTATATTATTATCATTGCTCTTAGAAGTCTCCCTCCTGATCAGCGAGGAGGAGGCGGAGGAGGATGAACGGGTCATCAATCGTAAACTAGCGCTAATAATTCGAGGGCCGTGACGCGAATTAAAGAGGCGCCTGATCCATGACAGCCTCCCGAAAACAATTTTTTTTTGACAAGCCGAAACAATTATTTTTATCGCGAATGATTGAGATCGATGGATGGATCGAACGGCCGGTCGATCGATACCGACGCGCGCGGCTGCTCTTCTCCGATTCGTCGTCGTTTTTCGCCTCTAATCCCATCGCGAAATCCGGAGCAAGAAACGGTCTACGCATATTTGGCACCGGCATTCTCATGGTAGCTTGCTTGCATTAGCCGTTGCATTTGTTGATAGAACTGCTCCCGCCACGCACATGACATCGTTAATCTGGCCAGCACCCGCAGTGTCTTAGTACTCCCTCCGTTTCAAAATGTTTATCACCGTTGACTTTTTAATACGTGTTTGATTATTCGTCTTATTCAAAAAATTTAAGTAATTATTCATTGTTAAATATACTTTCATGTACACATATAATTTTACATATTTCACAAAGTTTTTTTTAATAAGACGAACGGTCAAACATGTGCTAAAAAGTCAACTGTGTCAAACATCTTGAACCGGAGGGAGTACTATATAATCAGATTAGTTAACAGTTAACAACACGAATCACGAGGCTTTGGCACGTTGGTGCTGGCCGAAACCAAGGCGAGGGGGAGCTTTGCTTTGGGTTAAAACATAAAAGTACTCCAGTAGTAGGAACTTTGATGCTACTGGTACTATTTAGTTAGTGATCCGGATCAGTACTTCAGTAGGCCCCGCGTGACGGATCGAAGAAGATAAGGTGAAGCAGGTCCCTGCTGCCTCGACTGACTAATTAAAGAATTTGGCGTTTGGTTCGTGATTAAGGGTTTGGTTACACCGTGTCCCGCTCACGGATAGGCTGCTTAATTCTCTTTTTTAAAAAAGGTTTTAGCTAGATGCGCTGGTGCTGCTGCTGCTGCTTCCAGAATCCAAACTCATGAGCTTGACCAACTGAAAAGCCAATCCGTATCATCTCAATTACTACTCCTTACAAGTACTACTAGTACTAAATATGTACTGCTGTTAGTAGTACTGCTAAAAAGTCTAAAGTAGCACAAAATCAGAACACACATTTTCAGTATTGCAGGAGATAATGTTTCCAGCTAAAACACAGCTTCATCCTCAAGAAGCTTGTTGCGCCAAAATAGCATTATTGGGCACAAGTTAGCGACTAGTGAGCCCCCTGAAAAGGAGCCCAAAATAGCGTTCTATAGATACCTTTTTAATTTCATCCTCCCGTTTGGACAAAAGGAAACAGGTCTTGGATTGGAGCACATCATGATCAACATCTCAAATCAGTGATGCCGAGATTTCTGCACGTGGGGAACGTATTTCTATTCGTCAGAACAAAAATGAAAAAAAAATAAATCCAGCTCGCACACAATACAGGGACCACTTCTCAGTAGCCCACCACAAAAAAATCTAGTACTAGTATATGGATCGATCGATGCCCGCATCTTTCGTGCTTGCTGTACTCAGTTAATCATACGGGCTGCTAGCATTACAATATCCAGATGAAGAAGTTAATGTATAACACCATTTGTGTCAGACAGAGATATCAAAAATATTAGAGCGGTGTAAATTAAGCTAGATACCGTGCATGAGCCACTGACAGCATTTATACTAGTATAAGATCGAAACAACTAATTAACAAGTACCCCAAACAAAGCCATCGTCTATGTTTTTTATTTTCAAGTGAGGCACATGGACCATTGATGGTTGGACACCTATAGCTCGCAATTGAGGGGAAAAAAATAAGGAGCGCTTCGATACAACTTGCACCGGCTGTACCCTCTCCCAGGAGGCCGGCTTCTTGAGCACCACATGGAAAAGCTTAACTGCCGTAGTTTCAGATCGGGTTTGTACACCTGTACGTGAACCCACGTGAGATGCGAGTGATTCGTGAGGTAGTATCATCGATCCAAGCTATCTCACGTGTACACCTGTAGTAGCGTATCCTCCGCCGTTTGATCGAGATCCAACGCACCAGACGGATTGCTAACAAACAATACATAATCTTCTATTTTTTTGTTGTTGAGATATATATGATCACGTCACAGGGCGGCACTGGTTCTGGAGGTTCGTCTGTGAATTAAACCACGCTAAAGTACAGGGTATCCGTATAGTATTCCTTCTCATGTACGATCTGGTGTGTATTGTGTTTCCACGGGGATAGCAGCAGAAGCACGGGGATGATTGGCCAGATCGGGTTAGGGAGGGGGTCGCCATCGCCGCCTGCACTAGATTAATCGCTCGCCCCGGCCCAGAACGTCGCTCTCTCCGTCCGTCCCCGGCTCGCCACCATCTCCTCCTCCAAGACGCAACAACGAGAGTGAGAGAGAGAGAGAATCGAGAGATCCAATCCAGTTTGCGCAACGAGTGGCATGGCATGCAACCGATCTAGAACGTCAAATAAAAACAACGCCATGCGTACATACACGTTCATGTGCCGCGCGCCGGTGTAGCGCAGCGTAGAGAGAGAGAGAGAGAGAGAGAGAGAGAGAGTATGGTAGTCTTCCTACGCTCGGTCAGTGACAGCGTCGCTGCGCATAAAGAAAGGCATCCACTAGCAGGAGCCAGCATACGCTGCCGCATATACAAACACGCATGTAGCCAAGGCGAGGAGAGAGAGAGAGAGAGAAAGGGAGATCATTGAAAGCTGCACCCATCCGTTTGTTCGCCACCATTTCCATCCCCTCCATCATGAGCTCCAATTAGCCGCACACCGATCCCCTCCTCTTCTTCCCCCCCTTCTCCTCTCTCCTCTTTTTTTCCTCATCCGTGCGCGATACTGCGCTTAGTTTGTGGGTGGGGGGAGTGATCATCACCAAAGCCACAAAGGGGGCGCGGAGAGATATTATATATTCTTTGGGAAAGCGTTGGATTAGTTTTTCTCGCTTTGGGCTTTTTATCCGGAGTTGGAGTGTGTGTGCGCCGGGAGTGGTGGTGGTGATGGCGGCCGGAGAGGAGGTGATGGATCGGTCGACGTCGGCCGAGGACGGGTACTGCAGCGCCGGCACGGACTCGCCGCGGGCGGAGTCCGTCGACGAGCAAGGGGCCGCCGAGGAGTCGTCGCCCCGGGGAGGGCAGAAGCGGGAGCTCCCCTCGCCGTCGGCTTCGCCGTCGTCCCCGCTGCCACCTGCCGCGAAGCGCAGGTACGGATAATATTATGGCTCGGTCTGCGATTGATTAAAGCCCTAGGTAGGATTTAGGGATAGAGGATTGATTGGTGTTTGGTTGGTTTGAGCAGCCGGAGGTCAGTGGAGAAGCGGGTGGTGTCCGTGCCGATCGCGGAGTGCGGCGACCGGCCGAAGGGCGCCGGGGAGGGGCCGCCGCCGTCGGACTCGTGGGCCTGGCGCAAGTACGGCCAGAAGCCCATCAAGGGCTCTCCCTACCCAAGGTAATTAGGCTTTATATTCAGTTTGGTTGATATTCTTGAGCCTGTTGATTAGTTACCGTGCTGATTAATCACTGCAATTAGATCAGTTAAACGGTTGTTGAAGTGGCAAGATTTAATTTGGGTTTGTTGCTTGTGTTTATTATGCTCAGGGGGTACTACAGGTGCAGTAGCTCCAAGGGGTGTCCGGCGAGGAAGCAGGTGGAGCGCAGCCGCGCCGACCCCACCGTGCTGCTCGTCACCTACTCCTTCGAGCACAACCACCCGTGGCCGCAGCCCAAGAGCAGCAGCTGCCACGCGAGCAAGTCGTCTCCCCGGTCGACGGCGCCAAAGCCTGAGCCGGTGGCTGACGGACAGCACCCCGAGCCAGCGGAGAACGAATCGTCGGCGTCGGCGGAGCTGGAGGTACCGGAGCCGGAGCCGGAGCAGGAATCTGAGCCGGTTGTGAAGCAGGAGGAGGAGCAGAAGGAGGAACAGAAGGCTGTGGTTGAGCCGGCGGCGGTCACAACCACGGTGGCGCCGGCGCCGGCGGTCGAGGAGGAGGATGAGAACTTCGACTTCGGATGGATCGACCAGTACCACCCGACGTGGCACCGGTCGTACGCGCCGCTGCTGCCGCCGGAGGAGTGGGAGCGCGAGCTGCAAGGGGACGACGCGCTGTTCGCGGGGCTCGGCGAGCTCCCGGAGTGCGCCGTCGTGTTCGGCCGCCGGCGCGAGCTCGGCCTGGCGGCCACCGCGCCGTGCTCCTGATGATCACCTCCTCTTTTCTTTTTCCTCCCCTTTTACAATTTCCCTTTTTTTTTTTTGCTTTTCTTTAGTTCTCCTTGGAGTAATTTGGATTGGAGGTTAGTACATAGCTTGGGTGATCAATGGGAGTGAGTGGCTTAACTGTTCAAGAGAGCCTCCTATTCCCACTCTCCAAATTGCGTCGCGTGTTCGTCATCCAAAGCCCGTCGTGCCGTTTCCGAAGTGGTTGGCGACGTGATTCCAACGACAAAAAAGCAGCGAAAGGTGGGCATTTTCAGGCGTTTTTCCTCGCCGTCTGTGTCGAATAGACGCGCACATCGATCGCTCCAAGGCCCATCCCGCCGAGTGAGTGATGAGTGAGTTAGGTTTCTCCGCACGCACGCACGCACGTCCCCACCGGCTGCGGCTTGCAAGTGGGGGCCTCTCGTCTCGTCCGATGCGGAATCCAACGGTAAGCGGCACTGGCATTAGCCGGGCAAGCGTTTTCGGCGTGGTAGTTGGAACTTGGAAGGATGCGCGCGCACGAGGCCACATGCCCGGGTAGTGTGGCGCTGCCACGGATCCACCCGCGGGACGCGTGCCGCGCCTTCCCGCCTTGCCGGCCACGGCCCACGGCCGGCTGCCGCCGCCCCGGTCCGCTTGGCGCTACGCCTACGCGCGAGCGGGGGCGGGCGGAGCAAAACCTCGGCGCAGCAAAAACCGCTTTCCCGCTAGCCGGCTGCCGGCCGGAGGCGCGAGGCTAGCCCGGCTACGCTACATGTATGTACGCGCGCTGCCGCTTGGGACGTCGCCGAATTGGTCCCTATCGCGGCGCGGTGCGTCGTGTTCGTGCCGTGTCGCGACACCGTCCCTGTTACTACGAGAGATAGGGGCAAACGGATCGTTCGGCTCAGGGTTCCATGTATCTAGCCGGCCGGCTGTTCCGGCTCGCGTTCTGCGTGTGTATGCATGTATCCTGCGAGGCAGGGGTGGGGGAAGCGAATTCGCGGATTTCGGAATTCCTCGAGTGGTGTACTAGTACTGTTGGTGTTCGGAGAGGAGCTTTTGTTTAATTCGTTTCCAGAAGTAAATACAAGGGGACGATGCTAGATTCGTGATGCCATCTTCTCCATGTGGCGATTAATTTAGAACCATCTTATCTCAGCAGCAGTTAAGCACTACTACGTATGTATAGGCACCTCTTTTAACTGCTCTAGATCATGAACACACTTTTTTTCAGGAGAGATTCTCACGTTGTGCTTGAAATAAATATTTCAACTTTCCACCAATGACACGACTAGGAAGTAGGTACCAAAGTTTCGTCACATTTTTGCTTAAGCAATTACTAGAACATTTATTTATTCGTCTGTTAGCTTCGATGCTAAGAGACAAGCTATACAGATGAAAAAAAAAAGCTTGCAGGACTTTCCGATATAATTTCCCCATGACAATAGAGGGGATAGCTAGGACTAAAAGGTAGAGGTCGTAGAAAAACGCATGATCAGCCAACTTTACAAACAAAAGATAAAACATGTGACTTTACTAGCCTATTTGGAGTCATTATCCACAGTCGGACATTTCACAATCTGACCACGTAAGAGTAGATGATAGGAATCAAATCGGCAGGAAAAGACAAAAGAGTTGTTGTCAGTTTGTCACTGACGTAAGGGTGGCATCCATGACAAACCTGGCTTTTGGGCTTGGCTATGGCTACTTGCATGTACTTGGACCAGGCCTTGTTTGCTGATCTATTTTAGACAATGAATGGATAAGGCCTTGTTTGCTGATGAGTTTCTGAGTTTACATAACAGAGCACACCTGCAGGAAATTTTAGCATCCATCAGGAAGGACACGCAACATGAACTTAAGATGGGAGGCCTACATTACTACTGTTGCATGTGCCACTCTTTTTTTTTTTAGAAAATGGATTAAAATCCGGCCTCTACATCCACAGTGGATGTACACAGTCCAACATGTGCCACTCTAAAGGATGCAGTTAAGCAACTCAGCACAAGCCATACTGTCAAAAACTCTAATTGTTCAGAAGGCTGTCAGAATGCCCCGAAATATTGCCAGGTTCCCACTGTAAACAAATGTTTTGCAGAATTATGTCGAATACAGTAACCAATCTGACGAAAGGAGCTGTCTTGAGTTAAGACTTTCAAGAAATGGTATAACTGAAAGTTGGAACAATCTAACTCTCAATATCACCACAACAAAATGAAAATTAATGGACCTCTTTCAATAGAAGCAACATACAGCCGTACACCTAGTGGAAAAAATCAACAAGAAATGCATCTCTACTCTAATTTGAGCAACAGCCAATTCTCTTCAGCGCAGACACGTCATCTTTCACATTAATCTTCTCTCCTTTGATTGGAGCATTTGATCCATCATCTGATGCCTCAACCGTCTTCTTGCTGACAGTTTGGTATATCTGAGTCAAAACTTCTGCAAAAGCATTCTCTACATTTGTGGCGTCTAATGCAGATGTCTCCATGAAGTACAATGACTCAGCCTCAGCATATTCCTTTCCATCTTCAGTTGAAACAGCCACCAGATGGCGGAGATCGGATTTGTTGCCTACTAGCATGACAACAATACTAGGGTCAGTGTGGTCTCTCAGCTCTTTTAGCCAGCGTGCCACATTATCGAAAGTAGCACGCCGAGTGACATCATAGACAAGCAGTGCACCTACTGCTCCTCTGTAATAGGCACTTGTAATAGCACGGTATCTGCCAACAGAAGGAAAATATTAGGTAATCATATAATTATGCACTAAAGAAAATCATAAAGAAGGATCAGCTACTCCCACTGTTCCACAAAGAGTTTACTTTTAGCATTCAAAATTTGTCCACGAACAATTTACTTTTAGCTCTGACCCTACTCACTCCACAAATCAACATACTCTCTCACACACACATTCTCCAACTATTAATAACAAGGGGAACCTAAGCCATTCCCTCACAGTACTAATCTGCAATCAGTGTGAGAACTGCTACAAATAAATTCTTCGTGGGATGGAGGTAGTAATTCTGATTCCAATAGCAAACATGTTCAAAATTGTCCACAAACAACAGAACTAAAAACAATTGGCATGAACATTTGATATTAGAAGGAACATTATGATGCCTTATTTGTTATTTCCTAGGTTAAAAAGTGCTGCCAATGTGTTGCTACAGTAATATGTGATAGACACATGGCATGCATGTAGTGAGGAAAAGGCCAAGCTATGGTAAAGTAAGGTGCTCTCTATAAAACATGTACATCTCAGCAATAGACTAAATTAATAGTAAACCACCTCAATAGTATGTCTACATGGGTATCTATAGCTCTCTAATCCATTGCCTCGTTTTTCTCTATAGATTATCTCCAGGTTAGTAGATAGCTTTGCTCTCTCTCTTCATTCAATCTATTCCAAGTAGGAAAATATGCTGACATAGATCTCTTGTAGAGAACCTATAGATAACCATTGCGGGTGCCCTAAGGCCATAAGGGGCAGGCCATCTTTTCCTGTTCCCCTTCGCCAAGTCCAGATCTAGGATTTAAGCTCTAGTCATTCACATCAACATGGTGTGACTGTACAACACACCAAATTGCACGAGCGGGTAACAGATTATTGGAATGGAGCAAACAACCGCCAAACTCACAGTCAACATCTCAGGTCAAGGTCAGTAAGCAAGGTTGCTTTTTGTGAATGTGTGATTGGCTTGGTTGCTGAGGCGTCTTTATGGTATAACAGGAATGTGGAATTTAGAAATATTAAGGATCCAAATAGAAACTATAGCAGAAAAATAAGGCACTGGTATAGCACAAGTTATACATTATAAAATTTTCTGTGAAAGCTTTGTGATTTTGTTGTTAAAATTGCCAACCAATCCTAGTTCACCCCACGTCCCCACCCAAGTCAGTCTATGTGTATTTTGCATTCTATGATTGTCTCGGATATAGATTTACTAGTTTCTTAGACTTTAATTTACAATAGCATGCAAGGTGTTTTCTTAATATAAAATTGTATTCTTTTTTAGATGTGGAAATGGTTTAAATCTCTTGCCTCTGCTAACAAGCACACTGCACACGGCCAATAAGTTTTATTGTTGTATAAAAATTGAGTGATGGGCCTCCCCCAACCTCTCTAAAGAAACCATATGGACCTAGTATTTCTGACAGAACTATTCTTATCCATAATTCAGAGAGACTTATAATGAACCAAAAGTTTCTATATAGTACGAACAAAGTTTTGCACTGTCCAATTAGGATGATCTTCTCGATTTATACTCCCCCTCCAAGGCTCCAAAGCAATATCAATAAAACTGTGTGGTATTGCAATACAGTGCGTTAGGTAGTTAGGTATACACTACATAAGCCGGGAACCAAAGTATGCTTTTGATGCGTATTTATGCACTCCTCATGATGCAGAAATGTCGTGACCACAATGGCACTTTCTACTCTTGAGATCCATAGCAATAGAAGCCCTCAATAGCGACCATTTCGCCGCTGGGGCCGCACTTATCAATAAGTCCTCTAACACCTGTGAAACACCTGTCCCCCAGTTAACACTGCAGCTAAACTAGCATCACTGCATTTTTGACACATAGCATTTCCTCTGCTTCCTCTATAAACTTCGAATGGAAGACGACACAGCAACCACTTTCGCTAGAACACAACAACGATTTTTGGTGGTTTCACTCTCGAACCATTAATCTCGAATGAAACAGACATGGACGTCCCAACAGCCAAACCACGTGTCACCTCCCAATCTAGTAATCTACCCTCCAGGAGAACCAGCCAGATGTGAATTGGCACTCACTACACTTTCGGTTCCATGCCAAATTCGTGCAGGAACTATCAAGGTCAAATTTACAATATTAATGCTCTAATATCATCAGCACCGAACTAGTTCAAACAAGAAATTAAAATCGACAACGACGACAACCAAAGTTCACATTTTTTTTAACCAAAACCAAGCAATAGCGAAGCGCCTACAAACAATCTGCAGGAAAATTATCGGCTACGTCGCACTCTAACTTCCAAGAGAAATCCATGAGCATGCGGCCAGCAGCAAATCTAGCAGAACACACTCGATGCACTACCCATTTGCGCACCAACGCGGGAAGCGGCTAGAGTAGGAGAGGAAGGGGGAGGCCGTACGTACCTCTCCTGGCCGGCGGTGTCCCAAATCTGGGCCTTGACGACCTTGCCGTCGACCTGGATGCTGCGGGTGGCGAACTCGACCCCGATGGTGGACTTGGACTCGAGGCAGAACTCGTTCTTGGTGAAACGCGACAGCAGGTTGGACTTGCCCACGCCGGAGTCGCCGATGAGCACCGTCTTGAACAGGTAGTCGTAGTCGTCCTCCGCCCTGTAGCCGCCGCCTCCGCCCGCCGCCATTCCCGCGCACTAGCCCCCTCGCCGGCCGGCGCTTCTCTCTCAGCTAGCTAGTGGCGTTCGGCTTTGGATCTCGCGGGCTTTGGAGGACGGAGCGAGCAGTTGTGGGCGCTGACAGGTGACACCGTGACAGCTGAGCTGAGCTTGCTCGGTTTTCTTGCGCCAGTGGCCAGTGGGGTTTTAATTTGTCTGAACTCTGAAGAATTAATTTGCTGCTCTTCTTACGCAGAAAGTCCACTCTACTTCTTTTTAGTCCTCTCTGTTTTATTTAACCTACGGCTGATAAGATGTAAAATAAATTGAACGAAACCAGTTAGTACTAGGATTTTATTGTAGGGGCCATTCATATTAATGCCATTTCAAATCATACTATTTTTTTAAAGTTGCTAAATATTCGTATATATTTAATTTCTTGATAAACTTTGATAAATATATAAGAAATACTGCCATTGCCAAATTTTAGTAACGTTTATTTTGGCTACAATTTAAACAACCCTGTAGTCTGAACTAAGAATTAGTCTGTTGCTTTTTATACGTAGAAAGTCCCCTGCACTTCTTTAATTTAGGCCTATGTTTGTACAAGCTACCGCCATGAAAATAATAAAAGAAATAACAAAAATCATTTCTAAGTAAAATAGTATTAATGATTTAGAAGTTCATATTAAAAAATATACTACGAGTCTACGATGAAATAACTCTAAAATCAACTTGAAACTGAGTTCTAAAATTTAAATTTTGTTGTGGTTCATAGGCTAATAAAGTATGACTCTTTGGTTTATACGAATTCTGTAGGAAAAGTAGATTAATTAAATTCTTCTAGGGTTGCACTATTCATTTTTTTGATGGATGGAGCATAGGAAAAATAGGGAATATCTTTCCTTTGCCATAGATCAATATGAATTGAAACATTTACAAACATCTATTTTTTTTCATTCCTTTTCTCAAGTAATAAAACAACAAATTGACACAAGTTAATGATACATTAACCAAATGAATTATAATTTAGGTTTGTTTTGTAAGTTTCATGTGTTAACAACCCATCTTACATTTTCCTTATGTCTTAATCATCTGTGTTACACGTAAGTACACGTATGTTCCTATCATATTCATGCATGTTTCCTATTCCTATAGTTTTTCATTGTTGCGTTTTATAGGTGTCCCTAAGCAAAAACTTTTTGTCAAGCTCCTATAGACAGCGGTGATGGCAAAGGGGTCAAATGAAATATTTTGATTGTAAAATTTGATGCTAGATTGAATTTAATCTAAATTTGAAAAAAAAATAGTATATGCCTAAAGGTCGGTCAAACAAACATTCGTACCACGGGCTAATTAGGTCCCTTATGATTTGATCGCACCTAGTTAGACAGTCTAATCGGGCTAATTAGGTCCCTTAGAGCAAGTTTAATAGTACAGCCCACTACTAGCTTCAAATCATCTATAGCCAATGTAATAGTCAATTCATACAATAGTTGCTTACTATACTATTAATACCTGGTCCCACCTGTCATACACACATTACGCCTTGAAGTCCGTGCTGCAGCTGGCTACAGATCTGTAGCCCGCTGCTCTTCTCTCTCTTCTTTTATCTCTTTAAAATATGTTTATAGCTGGCTTATAGTCTGCTATTGTACCTACTCTTATGATTTGAGCTGTCTGATCGGCAACCTAAAGTCTAGATCGAATTTAGTTTTTTCTTTTCGTGTGTATTTTCTTGCTCTAGGATCAAGGTTTCTTGAGTGCTACTGTATATCTATCCCAATAATACATGAAAAGTCTTTATTTTTACTAAGATTAATATCTTTATAAAGGTTATGCCGATTCAATTGAGACAATGCAATTCAATATACAAGGCTCGTCATTTACTTTAGATTTACTCTACTTTACCCCTACCTCATCTGTTGGTTTGCATGGTAACCATTCACCTTCGCGGCTAAAATGCGATTTTTTAAAAAAAAATTATCCCAAAAACTTTCCAGTTCACTAGATAAGTGTTTATGCTCAGATCGGTCTAAATCGTCTTTGGTAGATTACTTGATATCATTATGAAAAAGATCAGAAGCTACATCACCGTACCCGTGGTTGGAGATCAAAGCGCCTCTACAGCTACTTCGTTTAAGCCAGTGGTAGGTGTTAATCATAAAAAGACTTCAAGAGAATCACAGCTCCGGATCCGCTACCGGTTAACCGTAACCCAACCGACCGTTGGACGGCTCTCTTTATTTCTTGAACCGCGTTAACTACTCGAACTCTTGCGAGATCTCCTCTCGAACTCGTTAAAGAAAGGCGTGACGCCTCCTCGGTGGCTCGCTCGTGAACTCGTGAGGCGCGAAGTGCCGGCCGCCGGCACGGTAAGGCCCGAGACGCGCGCGCTCAGCTCGTGGGATGCCTTGAGGCCAGAACCCTCGCAGTTTTACGGCAGGAAGAGCGTTCGGTGAGATCCAGACGCGCGCGGTTTGAAGCTTGAAAAGCCAAGCGAAGGCCATCAAACGATGATACCGATCAGAGTGTGATCAGACGCCTTGTTGCCGCCGTCGTGCATGGTATAGTTCAATACTACCGGAGTACTTGGTAGATGCAGCGACAGAGGATATGCCAGCGCGCGGCGCGACTCAGATCCCGCAGGCCGGCTACGGCTCACACGCCGCACATGCACTCGTGCAGCGCGGCTGAGCCCACGTTGATGAAACAGCTAGCTAGTAGCCTAGTAGTACGTGCTTGTATACAGGTGGGTGACGGGTCCATTGCCAGTGTGACGTGCCCACAGGCACCTACCGTCCGTCACCACTCACCACCCTTTACTACTCCAGTACCCAGCAGAAGATGATGGCATGTAGGGTTTCATCTAGTTCCAGTCTACCCTTTGTACAAATACCAACATGAGATGGGAGTCCACGAGCAGCCAAGTATCTGGCAGTATGGCAATCTCTATGCAATAACTGTTTGACATGAGGAATAATCCATAGGGATTGGGTACCATTCACTTCTAAATGATGCAAATCCATGTTTGAATACCGGCACAAAATGATGCAAATTATGCGAACTGCTTATGCGTATTTCCTTAAAAAAACACTATTGGCACAAAAAAAAGTGCTGTTCATATGGGAACTAAATTCATCCAAGTGAAAATACCGCAAAATTCCTACATTCTAGACGGAACACAAGGGTATGAATCGATTTGATTTTGTAAATTTCACAAAACCTCTAGTATTATGGTCCAAGTTTTAAAAAATGATTTTGATACAACACATAACCCCAGATATTATGGTTTCATAGTTTGACAAACCCACACTGTTAATTAATTTGGTTCGCTACTGTACCAAATAAGAAATACTACACTTAATTTAGATGGATAAAAATTTTGGTAAATTAGAACCATGCCATTATAATTTTGCAAAGTTTGAGATATGTCATCGGTATCTCAATGACATGTGGGACCCACATGAGTCAATGACATGTGGGTCAGGATGGCATATCTCAAATTTTGCAAAATTATAATGGCATGGTTCCAATTTTCCCTAAAAAATTTTATAGATAGATCAAAGAATTCATAAATTTGAGATTTGATTTAGAACTTCTAAGTATGGAGAATCAAATAACCATTGATTAACAACATGGTTTTCTAAAACTCTAGGCCCATAATACCAGCGATCATGTAAGCCACATGCATTACCCGTATGTTTTTTGTTTTATTTTTTAAACAAGCTAGGACAATAATATCTGCAGTTATATGAAATTAACTCATTTAGGTATTACACATCCTGTTTTTATAGTTGATAAGTGTGCCTTTTGCCAAGTTTAGGGACTAAAAAGTGTTCTTTATGGAAGGTGAAAAGGCCTCATCTCAACATATAATAATCTCAAAATAAGGGAAAAGAATTCTATTATCATGTAATATTTACACATTTCTATGCAGTAAATTTAGCTAAAAGTAAAGAAAATCATAAATTACAATATTGCTACATATAAACAATGTATTTTCCTATCGAAGAAAAAGGTGTCTCATGCTATTCTTCCGCGCACGTGCCAATACTGGCCAAAACTGAGCTCTCTACTCTTCCAATTAAAGAAAGCATTAGCAAATTCCTAAGTGGAGGAAAAGTATTATCAAATATAACAATACTATTTATGCACAGTTCTTGACAGATATCTGCACCTTTTTTGTTGACATGAAAATCTTTCTTTGGCGACTAGATTGTCTGCTGCTTGTGTAAATGTGTCTTCTTAATCAATAATATTGTTTGCGTCATGTTCATGTTCATGCTCATCCTCATGAATAACAACACAACTTCCCTAAGTCGTGGAAGCACAGAAAAGATAAAAAACGATGGCACTTGATACCAAGGCAAGATGTATAGATGGTAGTCACCTGTGAGGAGGCATAGGTAACTAAATTTCCAGAATATGAAAATCCATCAAATAGTCCACTCTCTGGGAAAAAAAAATGTGCCACTGTCAAGCCAATTGCCAACAATGAGAAATATAAAAAACTGAACAAACATTTTATCCATCATATTTTCTTACTCACCTGATGACATCAGCCTGAATTACCCTGGTTTTCCATATCGTCATCATCAAGGATAACATATTTTGAAGCACCGCTAGAAGTTTGGGGGTTCTTGTCACAATTCTTATTACGATGGCCTTTCTTGAACCTATGATACCTTCGCATATCATGGGAGAAGAATGAGGAAATATTGTTCACTCAACACGGATGCATTAGAAAATAAAATTTTGCTTCTAGTTACATAGCAAACAGAGATGCTAAATGCTTGCTAATTATTGCTTTATACCCTCTCACACAAAGAGCTGACGTGCCAAACAAATATTGTTGAATAATGCGATAGGTAGTAATAAAGGTTCAAGTGAAAAGAAAGCACCAACATTATTAGAATTGTGGTACAGTTGATGACTTGAAGTTAATCTAGTGATTAGAAATATGAATAGGTTTCGAGTTAACATGAAAACAAAATTTCAACATAGAAAAGGGAACATTGACTTACTTGTATAAGTTGAATAGACTGACACCAAATATTATTATTCCCAGCCCAAGCCCCTTTAACCAGGTAAATGTATCATTGAAGAAAAGCACAGCAACCTGTCAGTTTTAATTGTTACAAGTTGACTCAAACTCACATGCATGAACATAGATGAATTATATACATAATGAATATTTAAAGTGAAATCAAGCTTTAGTTATACCAAAATAGTGACCGCTTCCTTCACAATCCCAGCTACGGTCACTGTTACAGCACTTGTTACAGAAACCAGAACATATTCTGTCAAAACCTGCAGGTGGAAAGGTCCTTGTCATCATCTTTTACGGATACATTTCATGATATGACAACTCACAACAAAAATAATCAGCAGGCATGTATAATAAAAACTGTTAGTGTATCCTGACTGAAGAAAAAAAGGACTCATTGCAGGTATTATTGGTGCACGGCGACATTCATCATTAGCAAGCTAATTCTGACAAGTGGGTACATGATCCATACCATGAAAAAGGCCAAAGCACCACCAAGAAGCATCAATAAGCTGCTCCTTATTATGTGAGTTGAATTATCAAAAAAGTGGCTTGCCCTGACGTCGTGCCATGGATCCATCGCAATAGAAAGAATTGCAGTTGTTATTGCCATAACCGGGGTAACATAACTCATCAACGTAAAGGGATTTCTTAATCCTGTGAATCATAGAAAACAAAAAGGATGGCTGTTACATGGTGGTTCCTAGTTTAAAAACAAATGTATCTTCATGCGTATATATTAAGAACCTAATGCTACATAATATTTCTAGTTCATATAACCTTTTTTAATAAGGATTATAATTCATGTTACTGTTAAAGTCGAAGCAATAAGGGCAGTTTCAGGCATGAGATGCAACACAAACAAATAGGATTAAGATAAATCCTCTCAATGGACAAAAAGGCTATGACAAAATGCATACCATATTCCTCTTTCTTCAGTAGATTCCATAGACACATAAGAGAATAACAAAAAAGAAAGTACAGTCAGTACATCAATGGAAATTAAAATATAAAATAGCTGTATATAATTAAGAGGACATAGTGACATGCCCAATCATCAACTTTGAATCATAACAGTAGTAAGACAAACTATTAAAGAACAAAGTATTAAACCTGGAGGAGAATCTGTGTCATGCACCAGCGGAAACCAGACATAACAGCAGCAAGCATAATAAATACAAATCCCCAAAGATTGAATTCTGTCTCTTTAGCAACTGTCCAGAAAGAAATTTTTTTACCATAGTTAAACAATGATGGAGCATAAGATAAGTACTAATAGGCATGCCAGTACGTGGTAGCATCAAGCAGTAACAATGCAACATCTAAGTGAAAAAATTGGAAATTACACCATAATCCCTTTAATAAAGCAATATATACAATTTGGAAGGTCATTTTGTCAGCGCTCTCTAAAAAGAACAAAAGAGAATTGTTTCAAATAAAAAGAGAACTGTTATTTCTTGATGAATTCAGTATTTCAGTACCTGTTAGTAGAACTCCAAAGGAAACAATCAGTATGATTCCAAGAAGGTTAAAGCTGGGCTTCTCTAGCCTTCCAAAGAAAGATGAAAAGTTTAGCTCTATAACATCAAAACGATTTATAAAAAAAACAGAAGTATATAAGAATATAATTCCTAGACAAAGCGACAAGAAAAAAAAAAGCGATTTGCATGAAAGAGAAATAGAACGATAAAAGAAACAGAACCAACATTAGCAGGTTGAAGCAAGATACCCACTCAAGGTTAGAAAAATAAAAATCAACAAAAGATACATTACATAAAAGTATAGATAGAAGCAAACATTTTAAATCTACCAACTTACTCGTATTGTTCATGTGAGAGTGCACGTGTCAGTGCGTGCTTTTGAGTGCTTTGTGCTTGTGGGTGCATTCATTATAAAGATTAAAGCACTTAAGAGTTATTAAGGATGGAAAAATCAGATCGAGGCTCAATTTAAGGTTGCATAATTGGTATTTAAATCAACGAATAATGGAAGAAATCACTTTAGAAGAAAACACATGTGTATACACTGTTGAAAAGAAATCAACAGCATAGCTTACCTAAACAAAAAGGCAAACAGAAGAATGAAAATTGGAGCTGCAGATTTACACTGCATAATAATTGAAAATAATGAATTAGAATTCCAAATTTGCTAACCAGTACTTAACTATGAAAAAACTAGGAAACAATGATTCATATAGGGTGAAATGTACCATTGTAGCAAATGTTACAGTGATGAAAACAAGTGAAATGTTGCTCAAATTTATGTCAAGAGCAGTAGCCAAAGCTGTTGGGACAACTGCAGAACAAATAATAAAATTACAATATATCATTTGTAAACAATGTTATTCAAATAAATATGATATACAAAAATACAAAACAATAAAAATGGAAAATATATATTTACAAATATTTTCAGGTAGTATAGATTCTGGTTTAACCTAATCTTTGTTGATTGACTCGGTTCAATCTATTAGAGCATTGATTGCATATCCACTAAGAAATGTGATATTGCTCAACATCATAAAAGATTCAGTAAGAGAAGTATACTAAGCTCCCTATTTGAGCCTGTGTGACGCATTAACCACTTTTATTTCTACATGCCACCAGCTCAAATTTCATTTGAATAAGAGAGGAATAAATTTAGCATGTCATCTGTTCTATCATGGATTTAGCATGCCAATTGTCCTATCATAGATTTAGCATGTCATCTGTTCTATCATGGATTTAGCATGCCAATTGTCCTATCATAGATTTAGCATGTCAATTGTTCTATCATAATAGTCACTAGTTGCTTAAGGCTGCAAAAGCCAATATTGTTCATGCTGACTGGTCCTAAACCTGATCTTGTAACAGGCTAACTAAAGAGTACCCTTCTTCTTATGTCACTTATTAGTTGTGTGGCAAACATAGACGTAAAACTAGCATTCAATTTATTTATCCCCTATAAGTCCAGAATACCCAAAGTTGATTTTACTAATTTGAGCGCCCAGCTACCCAATCCCATGCCACTTCTCTGGCTAAATATGTGGAAGCATCAAGAGGCATAAAGTAAGCTACACTTTGGTCACCTCGCAGAAAGTAATCTCTCCATGTCATTGCACTAGCCGCTCCCTCCAGGCCCCGGTGCTGGAACCATACGATCACCCTCGATGCCACAGCCTGCATCGTGAAATGCACCGTGTTCATCAGGAATGGCGCTGGGAACTTCCACATGTGCTTCCCCAGCATCTCCTTGTTATACCTGAACACACGCCCCACGAGCACAAACAGAACACCAGCATCAAACATGTGCTCAAGCACATACTCCCCCTAATCATCCACACTCCAAAAAAAAAGCGTGCTACTCACAGCGTCAAGCAGGTGCTCAGCGTGTACCAACTCGCAATTAGCGCAATAACCTTCGCGATCAACCACGGCGAAATCGGGAGGTCATCAGATCTCGCCGCTGCCCCCGCCTCAATATCCATCGGCAAGTGGCTGCCGCCGCCGCCGCCACTATCGGAGGGCAGAAGCGGAAGCTCGAACTCCTCGGAATCGTCGTCGCTGGCCGCCGAGGCAGGGGAGGCGCCCCCAGGGGGGGCATTGGACATGGCGGAGCAGTCCTTGCACCACCGCGAGAACGACGGCTCCCTGCGGATCCCGCCCTGTTTCCTCTGCCCTCTACTCCCCTCCTCCCGCGGCTTCCCGGCGCCCTCCGGGAGGCGCTCCACGGCTACCACCGGCGCGTCCTCCTCCTTCGGGACGGGGTGGCCATTCTCGACGACGACGCAGTCCCCCATGGACGCGGGTGGCGCTACGGCGATGAGGCCGGCTCTACAGCAATTTGGATCTAAGAGAGGCGTGGATGGATCTCATCGGCGACGGCGAGCGACCGCGGCGGCGGCCGACGAGAAGCCGCGGGAGATGGGGGTTTTGCTTTCAGCGAGGATTCCGGTAGCAAGTCAAAATCGGAACACCTCGTCTCGGCGACTTCCCGAGCGGTTAGCTTTGCAGCTTCGCGGCTGGTAGTGGTAGTTTCCCCTGCGGGCGAGGAGGACGCTGTTTTTCAGGGCTTTTTTTTTTTACGGGATTTTCAGGGCTTTTTTTCCCCACATGGAAAACCCTTTTCTTTCTCTCTGAGTTGGTATACGTGCACTTGACGTATCACATGATTTCGCTTGGAGATTTGTGAAGGTGCGCGGCCCAGCAGATGGAGTCATGGAGATAGCACCGGCCCATCCAGCGTTGTCGGTCAGTCGGTCCAAGTAGGTTGGCAATTTGGCATGACCTTTACCGCTGGTCTTCTCCAAAGCGTCCATTTTTGCGACTAGTTTAGACTTGATACTCATCATGCCTGATCTCCGGTCCTCTTATCAAGTCTGTACTCATGTTGCAACAGGTATATCTACTCACAGCACTAAGGGCCTGTTCACTTTGATGCCAAAAAAACCTTACCATTACCAAAATTTTGGCATAGTTTTGGCAACTTGCCAAAAATTTAGCAAGATTTATTATATAGTTAACAAAATTTGGTAGCAAACTAAATGTAGCCATTGTTTTGGCAACTTTACCAAAATTTGGTAAGGTTGAAAATGGCATCAAAGTGAACAGGCATTTAAAGTCAACAAGAAATGCTTAGAGATACAGATACTCGACGAGTAGTAGAGGAAACACTTCCTATGGGAATGCTCGAAAAACCTCGTTGGCGAAAAACACAAAGTCAACTGGATAAGAACATGCTCGCCAACAATCAATAGTGGTATAGGGATGCTGAACCTAAATAGATTCGTAAGAGCTCTAGGAGTAAGGTGGTTATTGCAAGAAAATAAAGCACGGGAAAAGGCTCGATCGGGTGGGCCTCTTAACACCCCATGGGACAACTTGGTCAGATTATTTATTGTCGCAAACCACAACCCTATTAATTGGGACGGGTCCATAATCCACTTTTGTGACTCAGCCTAGATCTAAGGTAGACGATCAAAGGACTTAGCACCACTAGTCTACGCAATCTCCAAGAGAAAAAAAAGACCCTAAAGCATGCCATTGAGGAGAGCACGTGGATCCAAGACCTTAACTTCTCAAACATTGATGATGTGACGGTGGAGCTCATCGACAAGCTGGTCACTATCTGGAGCGTAGTGCAAGAGATACAACTCGCTGACGACCAAGTAGATGAAATTACGTGGAAGCTCGCAAGTCGTGGAGACTCGAGAGCACACATTGGAATATACCTACAAGTACAGTTTCTCGATTCAGTTTGCACAAATTACGAAATAATCATTGGGAAAACCTGGGGCCTGAAGAAATGCACTCTTTACTTGCCTTATCGTGCATAATAGAGTGTGGATGCCAAACAGACCAGCAATCCAAAGCTGGCCAACAACTCCTATTGTCATCGCCTATGCCAGGCATACCATGAGAATGGCCTACCACCTCCTCGTGGAATGCAGATACAAAAAGAAAATATGGAGCATGCTATCTCATGAGAAACTTAGACCAGGGAGGTGGCATGTGTCTACGTCGGTATACACCTAGTGGATAGCGCTAGCAATTGCCAAAGATCTATACCAAAGAATGGAGTTTGCTCGTTTATCCTCCTCATGGCTTGATAGGTGTGAAGGAAAGTAACCAAAGAGTCTTCGAGCATAAAGATCACTCTACAATAGCGGTGGTGGCAAAAATTAAGGAGGAAGCCAACACCGCTTTATAGCTCATCCCCTGATTTTACTTTTCTTTTTACAATTTCTCGCTTTTACTTGTACAAACTATTTACTCATGTTTTATTCAATGATATCGGCACACTTAGTACTAGTTCGTCAAAACATATACTTTTTTTGAGCTGATAATATATATCGTTTTAGAAAATAATTTTACCATGTTTTTAACCGCTCTCATCACTTAGACTAATGAACCAACATAGTTGTGAATTAATTAGTACAGCTATCTTTGCCGCACTTCATCATGTGATAGTTATTTGTTTCGCTGCCACTTGCTAATAAATTTTGAAAACCAATGATAATTTGCATGCAACGTGAGCAGTGTGATCACAAAGCCTAACATTATGCACCTGACAGCATAAATCGCAGGAAAGAGTTTACTCCGAGCTAAAAACTGCGAACATATAAACAGTCAGATCCAAAAATCATTTCGTCATTAATCTTCCGTTCACTTCCATAGAAGCAATCCAGACGACCCCAAAATCAAATTCAGAGCACACGACAAAAACCCCCTCACAAAAAGCGTTTCTCTGAGTAGAAGTCAGACAACCATGCAGTCCTGCACCCTGGAGCCATTTGAATTCTGGAAACTGGGAAATTTGGAATCTTTCGCCAGATAAACCGCCAAATTATTGTGCTGGAGCCTTGTGGAGATAAAACTAGCCAGCGTTGCCCCATGCATTTCTCTAGCTTACATAACAAAAGCACCATTACAAACAGCAAGAGTATAATAAGCTCGAGCTTTACACTCCAGCATCCAATGCGCGCAAGTTAAACAAACACCTCAAAGCGTGCGCACTCTGCTGCGTGACACAGCTTTTAGCAGCCACGCGTGCAAAGATCCACGTAGGCACGTCCGCTTCGAATGGAGCAAATGATTGGAATCAGCAGCATCCACGTCAACTAGCTAGGCAAGCACGCTCCGATGCTCCATGGTGCCGAGGAAGAAGAACGTACATCAGCTGCGCGGCGGCGCAACGGCGGCGACGCGGGCGGGGTTGAGCTCGAACCAGACCTGCCGGAACACCTTGACGATGCAGTCGTGGTGCTCGTCGGCGTTGAGCGAGAGGTAGCACGCCAGGAGCGTCTCCAGCTCTTCCGGCCGGCCGATGCGCTTGCTCGCGATCATCTCCACCATCGACGCGCGGAACTCCCGCTGCGGGTCGCTCGTCCGGCGCACCACCGCGAACCGCTCCAGCTCCGACACCGCCGCCGCCGCCGCCGACGCCACGCGACGCGGGGACCGCACGCGCACGGTGGCAGCCACCCGCGCGCCCGGGGTCCTCCCGGAGAACGACCGCCGCCCGCCGCCGCCGCTGCGGCGCCGGCGCCGGCGGCTCCGCGGCCGCTTCTCCTCGTCCGTGTCGGACGGCAGCAGCGGCGGCGTCGTCTTCAGCGCCGGGACGAACGGAGCAGGCACCGGGATCGGAGAAGCGGCCCGGGAGAACGGGATGAGGTTGCGGAGGGTTTGGAGGTCCCGGTCGCCGCCGACCGAGTAATGGCGGCGGCGGTGGTACAGCTGCCGCGCGGCCGCAGCCTCGGCGGTGTCGCCGTCGTTGCCAACCGAGAGGCGGCGCGGCGCCTGGTGGTCAGCGGGCGAGGAATCCGCCAGGCTGCTCTGCGACGCCGCGCTCGAGCTCAAGCTCACGCTCGTGCTCGTGCTCGAGCTCGCGCCCTTGAAGAAGCAAGAAGGGAATCCGCCAGTGGCGGCGACGGCGCTCTTGTCGGCCGGCGCGGCAGGCTTCGGTTTAGCGGCAGCAGCATTGTTCTTGGCCGTGAGCTTCGAGAGCCACGCGAGCGGCGAGAAGGACAGGAAGGCCGCCCTGCTCTTGTTGCCCTTGTCCTCTTGCTGCTCGTGCTTGTGCTCTTCCTCTTGTGTGCGCTGCTGCTTCTCTCTCTGGTTGTGTCTACTACTTCTAAGCCCCCACTTCATGGCTCGCTTGCTACCACCAGGCACCAGGTTCTTGGTGTGTCTGCCCGTGTGTGTGAGTGACCTTGGAGTGTGAGGAGAGACGAGGGAGTTGCAACGCTTTTAAAGTGGGGAGGGTTTTGGCGGCTAAGCGATGGACTGTGCAATGGTATGTCCGTATGTGAGGTTCCGTGGTGTGTGCCTGTGTGGTGTACATGTGCATGCAAATTCTTTTTTTTTTTGCCCCTTGTGCTGCTATTGGGACTTGGAGTTTGAACTTTGATGCTGGGGCCATAGAGGCGTAGTAGAGCTTTCCGGCATGCCGTAGCTAGGTGGGTGAAAAACTGAAGACAGCTGCTGCACTTTTCATGGCACTTCTTTCTGGTTTCTTTGTTTTTCTGCCTGTGTGGGCTCTGGCTGATTGATTTCCGTGATTGGTGCTGATTTTTAAGCTCACGCTTGTGCGGTGCTGCCTGTTTGCGACGTTTGATTGATGTCTCACTTTTTCTTAATTGGCCATCACAGATTAAAAAGTATGAATTACTCCCTCTCAACTATTATGGTAGTACGATTTACCCTCTAAACTATAATACCGGATATTTGATGCCCCAAACTCTTAAAACTGTATAAATTACCACCTTAACTCGATTCGAAGCGGTTTAGCCTACGTGGCACATACGTGGCGATACAGTCAGCAAAAAACAAATAAAAACCAGTGGGGCCCACCAGTCAGTGTTTTTTCTCTCTCCTTCTCTGCCCCTCTCTCTCTTTCTCTCAGGGTGAACAAAGGAGGTGGCTAGCGCCTGGTGAGCAGCAGGCGAGGAGCTAGGGCGGGGCAGGTGGGGGCAGAGGCGGTGGGCGGGGGCGGAGGCGGCTGCGGCTGACGGATGAGGAGCCGAGGCCAGCGGCGGGCGGGAGTGAGGGCGGAGGCGGGGCCCATGGTCCTACCTCACCCCTCTCTCTCTTTTCTCTCTCTGCCACGGGGGGCACGGTGGGCACGGCGGGGAGGGCGAGCGGCGACGGCAGACGCGACGCACGAGTGTCGGTGGCCGCATCCACGGCGGCAACGCACGAGATGGAGCTGCACATGAGGCGGACGGCAGTGAGGATCTCCGCCTCCAACACTGGCCGCCCGGTCGTGTTCCGCCTCAGCCGACCGTCGCCTAGGGGATCTCCGCCTCAATCGCCTGCTGGCTGCTGCCGGCCGCCCGGTCCAGCTCCTTCGCCGCCGGTCGCCCGGGAGAGCTCCATCTCAGCCACCTGTGGCGTGGGCAATCTCCGCATCCGTAGTCGGATGCTCGGGTGAGCTCCGCCTCTGCCACCGGCCGTCGAGCGCATGCACCTCCTCCTCGGCAGTCGGCCGTCCGAGCGCGTGCGTGAGAGAGAGAGGATTGGGTTGAGGAATGGGCATGACAGGTGGGCCCCAGGGAGTTGTTTATTTTATTTTTCTGACTGGAATGCCACATTGGAGCTACGTGTGCAAGCTCGAGTCAAAACCTCTGAAAACAGTGTTGAGGGGGGTTATTTGTCCGGTATGAATAGTTGAGGGTGTAAAATATATGGTATTTCAGTTTAGGAGTATAAATCGATCGACCACGATAGTTGATAGGGGTAATTTGTACTTTTTTTTCTAAAAAGAACTACCGTAACGGCGTAACGCAGCCCTCCCTTCATGGTAGTACTACATTGGTAGGAGTACATGTACGCATACTCCTATTATTCTGTAGTGGTGGTATAGTACAATTCCTTGTTGCAATGTTCCGAGATTTTTTATGTTTAGTACAGTAAGTACTCCTGGTAGGTACTGCCTAGTCTTTATAGCTCATCAGATCCACAAGATTGGATCGCTACCCTCACTGGCTCGTCAGATCCACAAGTTGTCAGCGGTGCACTGTGGATTTCCACCAGAAATACAGTATCCAGAACCTCACGGAGTTCACAAACTAGGGAGGCACCGCGAGAGGAGGAACCTGCAGGCGTGAGCTTGAATGTGATCCGGCCTTTCTACGCGTATGCCATAGGTGCATTTTTCTCATGTGGCTCCGTGGATTCACATCCTCTACCATAACAAACATTAACATCTAAAATATTAAAAAAAATAAGATCTACATACTTATAATTATAATAATATTGATATCATGGTAAAGAATCCTGCTCCGGCTCAGTAAACCAGCACGCAGGCAAAGTTCGCAAACTCACACGACGTTCCGTCTTTGCCCGCCCGCATGCTGGCGCTGCGACGCTGCGGCCTTTCCTTCACTCGTTCATCACGAAGCGGCAGGCAGCGCAGAAGCGGCAGGCTCGCTCAGCGCAGGTCGGGGAATTGGGACGGCGACGAATATCGCAGTGGCACGATGAATTTCGCAGTAGCACAGACAGAGGCTTTCGCCAATTCGAGTGGGTAAAAAAGTCGCCGGTTGGCGGAAAGCTAAGCTACGAGCGAACGAGGGAGAGGGAAAGAAGAAGAAAAAGGCCGTGATGGCACTGAGGTTGGTTGGTTGGTTTGGGGGCCCTTCTACGATCGTGCCAACTTTTCGCCTTTTTTTCATCTCTGCACGTTCACTGTTAACTTGTCCCTTTGCTGCCTCTCTGATGAGTAATTCAGCAGCAGCGGCAGCGAGCGCTGTGCCTCTTTGTTTGAACGAGCTCCCGCCATCTTATGGCTTCCTTTTTGTATCGGCGTTTGATCTTTTGGTGCACTCTCCAGTAACTCTGTGTGGGAAGTGCAGTAAAGATTTTGCAATTTCCTGTGTTGCTTTCTTGCATGAAGACATGAATAATTCTGTACAAACCGTTGCCCGGAGCCCCGGACAATAAAGATATACAGTGCATGGACAGTGAGGTTCGAACCGATCGACGTGCTGCAAGCTGCATGAGGAATGTGTGCAGATATGCATCTTCGCCAGCTTGGTTCGGACTTCGGAGGGCATCATCGCATGTAGCTACCCCTGTTTCAGTCATAAGTTCAAAAAAACATCTAGCTCCATCGTCTCGTTTGGCCTAGACAACCAAAAAATAAGACAAAATTTAAATTTTTGAACTTAATTTTAAAGTTGATTTTGAAATGCTTTTAACGTAATTTTTGTTAATGTTGGCTTTTAAGTCGCTACGAACAAATCTACAAAAAGTTTTAATTATAAATTAATTTTAATTTTCTAATAAGCCAAATAAACCATTTTGGGCTAAATGGGCAACCGATGGGAGCTATCGTTGCTTTCTCCTCTCTTTTTTCTGGCGTAGCACGCTGTAGGCTCACTTTTAGCCATGTAGTGTGTCTGACGAAGAAAATGACTAAATGATGGGGAGCCTATCTAGAGTGTAGATTGCCGTCATAGCCAACTGTCCTTCCGTGTGTTTTTTACATGTTGAGAGCACAGTAGCATGCGCAGTTCAAAATTCACATATGGCACGTACTAGTAGGTTGGTCCTCTGACAGAATTAGGGTGTACCCGCATTGCCTCTAGAGTTGCTAGCTGCTGTTCTTATCAAGAAGTTGAGGGTACGTGCAGACTCCAGAAAGCAACGAAGGACACGTGAATTTCACGTCTAATAAAAAAGAAAACAAACAAGTTGGGTCCATGAAACAATCGAGCTGCAAGGCCTAGTTTGTCAAATGGGCTAGATTTTAATTCACTAGTTCAGCCCATCTCCACCCAAGATTAGTAGGGTACTCCTATAATTAAGTACTACTAGTAGTCTAGTACACACATGTTGCCCACAAGGACCGAGAGATAATAATGTCAAGCCGACCCGACAAGGTAACAGATTAAAAAAACAAGAAGGCTTTGCCCCTCAATAATACAGCCTCACCGACAAAATAATCCGGTCTTACCGAAGCCCTTGACCGGAGATTTTGCTTTTAAAAGCACGCGTATCTTTGACGTTTCCGGGATATGCATGGAGATGGAACCATAAGCCCATGAACATGCATGCAGTCAGCAGTCGTCAAGATCTGCAGGCGTTCTAGACTGGGGAAGGCATGGCGTGCGGCCACGCCGTCACGTTTTTGGCACCTATGTGGGTGTTTATACAGGGGTGTAAAGTTTTGACGTGTTACATCGAATATTATATAGGATGTCGTATGGGGTGTTCGGGCGAAAAAAACTAATTACAGAATCCGTTAGTAAACCGCGAGATGAATTTACTAGTCTAATTAATCCATCATTAGCGAATGTTTACTGTAGCAACACATTGTCAAATCATGGAGCAATTAGGCTCATAAGATTCGTCTCGCAAAATAGTTGCAATATGTGGAATTAGTTATTTTTCAGTCTATATTTAATACTTCATGCAGGTGTTCAAACGTTCGATGTGACAATGTGTAAAATTTTCACTTAGGATCTAAACAGTGCCTCTATATCTCTAGCGCGACATGCCGTGGCCCGTGGCTATTGTATCCTGTTTATTACAGCTTTTCTCTTATAGCGGGTTTAACGGTGTAGCCAACTACTAGCTTTAATTCATTTGTAGTCAATTTAATAATTAATTTATGCAATAGTTAACTACAAATATATACTACATCATTAATAATTGGTCTCATATGTCATACACACATAGCGTCTTAAAGTCTGTGCATTTGTAGCTTATTTCTCTTCTCTCTCCTCTCTTATCTTCTCTATGTGTGTTTATAGCTACTTCCTCCGTTTCACAATGTAAGTCATTCTAGCATTTTCCATATTTATATTGATGTTAATAAATCTAGATATATATTAATATGAATGTGGGAAATACTAAAATGACTTACATTGTGAATCGGGGGGAGTAACTTATATTTTGTTATTGTACCTAGGATAACCTGCTTACATAAGAGCCCTTTCAAGATTATAGATTTTTCTTATTGATTTTTGAGAAACCCTCATAAATTAATAGCTCCGTAAGGACTGGTGCACATCTTAATTTGACTTTACCGCCGGATAAAGAGACCTTTTGTTGTGACTTGTTTGGTTTTTTAAAATAATGGAATAACATTTTGGTTTTTCTCAACGATCTACAACTAATTATTACAAAATCCACACATAAACAAATTCAGTACACACTGACATGATATAAAGAAAACGCAACCTAAAAGACACTAACACAATATAAAAGAACCCTGAATTACTGAATTCTATTCGAGAATCTCTATCCAAAGTTGGCAAACAGGTGCATAATCGTCGACTCAAGTTTACGACATGCATCATTTATTAGGATATCATCATCGTGCCTTTGTAGCTTGATATCATCATCATTTATTACTTGTTTGGTAGACGCGTTATATTCCGTATTAGGTTTTTATTTTGGAACGAAAAAGTATTAAGGTAGTATACTTTTTTAAAT